TGCAAGAATGGAAAGTCTAATATGCATCAGGGTCTGTGATTCTGGTACCTTTGGACACAGCCAGGACAGCTGTTCTGCACCGTTTTCAGCCTTTATGCTAAGCTAAATGATTGCTGGTTGTAGTTTCACATTTACTTTCCAAACATTAGAGCGGTATTGATCTTTAACTCTTGGCAAGAAATCAAATTAGCATATTTTCCAGAACATCTTTAGCTTTACAGACATTTTTATGGCACTATAGCAGAACGTGGCAATGTTTTGTGATTAATGTTGCAAGTGAATATTCTTTTAATAAACATCCAAATGGCTCCTCCATTCTGTGATACTGACATTTTTATGGCACTATAGCAGAACGTGGTTGGTGCAGGAACCACTGTACAATATAGAAATATTACATACAATTTTAATGGCAATAAAATGACAGTTGAATCATTTCAGAATAAATCCAGCTCAACTCTGACATTCCCTTTTTAACTTGCAATAGAAGTTTTACTCTGCATATACACAATGCTGTATCCCTAAGTGAAGTTTACCAACAATAGGCTACATTGTTTGTGCATGTTTTATTAATGGCAATGTCTGTCACTCACATGGGCACACAGACATAAAACCCTGGCTGACGTGCATAGAAAGCAGTGCTCATAAACTCACTCTTTTGAATCTAGATTCAAAACAGGCTATGATATTTTATTCCAAGGCTGTTTTAAGTTGATGGCGGCATCAGATGAAATTCTGCTGTGACAGTGAGCTAACAATAATTGAAATGCAGAGGTCTTGTGTTGCCCCCTACGCATGGAAACTATTATGTATGTGCAAATCACATTAAAGTATAACCATATGTTTTTGTGCCATGCAAATATTACACTGGGTAAAGCCATCATTAAAGTGAGCTTCGGCCGTACAATTGCTAACAAAATACAGTGAGTGTCTCGTGTTGAAGCTGGATGAGGTCCACTCTAACTACTAGCTAGGTTTATAAATATGTCTCAGTGGAGATTAGCCTGAGGGTAACCCTTAGCTCTCGTCCCACTGGAGCTCCTATTGCTCACACTGTCACATCCCTCCTGCTTTATAAAAATATTTGTACTGCAGAACTTCTTGGCTGTGCAGCTGACATCAAACCCTACTGAGAGCTGAGGAAAGAGGATCTATCAGGCCCAGAGAGAAGGGAGTCGACTGGGTGGATCTTGTGCCTGACTTGTTGCAGCCAAGTTGTGCAGTTCAGCTGCTGCATGTTACTTAAATGTTAAGTAACACAGGCAGGTACTGTGCAGCTTAAGACTGAAAAATGGTCCTAATATTGGACTGATGATAGGAGACAGTATCTACTGTGATAAATAAATGCTCTCACTTTGGACGTCAACATCAAGCATCATCGTAGCTTAGGACAAACAGAAAACTTTGGTAATCCAAAATAGACGTAGAAGCTGTTGGTTTCTAACTCCAAACTAAACTTGTTAAAAGCCTTGTTAAAAGATTTAATTACCCATATAAATCTAATGTACAATCCTTACTTAACTTAAACCAAGCAACACTCTCTGCACCAAAAGTCCTTCACCTCGTTAGCAGCCAAAACAGAGGCACAATATACAAAATAAAGGCCTTATGAGAGACCTTCAAATACACACGATGAACAAACAAACATTTTGATACTAAGTTTTGTTCATTGGGGGGGGGAAATCGGTAGTGATGCTTGCTCAGCTCAAGCAAAACCCTTTAATAAATAAGTGTACATTCCTTTCCCAATTAAACTATAACTTCTTGATGTAAAACTACTTTTCTTGTAATGTCAGTGATCGAGGAACTGAAACCTGATCCAGTTCCATTCATGACAACGCACTCTGAAGAAAACAAAAAAAAAGAATATCAAGTTGATGTTCCAGTGCAGAACAAAACATGTCTCTGCAGCAGGAGCTCTCAGCCACCCTCCAAAAGCCCTCTCGCCATATTGAGTAAAAGGATCCCTGCAGGGGCAACACAACACCAGGCCCAAAGTGACTGACACGAGGCGGTCCGGTGAACGTTAACGCTTACCACAACCACATAACACTCACTTCTGCTCTATAACAATAGAGAGACTGTCTCTTTGTTTGGGATCTTTACATGGGCCAAAGAAAATGCAGGTGTAGAGCAGCAGAATCATGTGAGTGAGAGATTATGAGATACACTCCCTCAGTCTGTTCCATCTGCTCTGCACAGGCTGAATACTGCTCAGTGGTGACTGTACTTTGTCCATCAGCTTCCTGTTATTCCCCCAGCAAAACATCAGCAACACAAAGCACCATGCTGTGTTATTAATGAGCTGAAGAGTAACAAAAACATGTGCTGTCTTGCTTAGTATCTGACACACATCAAGACATGCATCTTTTTCTGTCTTGCACAACACGAAGGTCTTGGGAAACCTGCTGGGACACAGGGCCTTTCAGTGGAAGATTTACAGTTTGGCAAGGCTCATATACCATAGCCCTTGGGTATGTACCTTCAAATACTGTCAAGCTATTCAGCAATTTAAAAAATTGCTTCTTTTAAAACAAGTGACAGCACAAAACAAAACAAAAAAACAAACAACAAAAAAACTGCCGTACTTTTTGGAAGCAAGTTGCATTTGAATTTACAGTTTGGTGACAGGTCATAAGATCCATGGACAGTGAAACTCATAGGAAAATGTTTGCTGAACCCAATGCACACTGGATAAACAAAGGTTACACTTCCCAAAGACAAGCCTCAACCATCTCTGTGTGCACAAACATTGTGCAAGTATTTGCATAACCATGGCCGTCTGATACAGGCAAACATTACTTTGATTCCAAACTATCTTATTCCAGCTGTTGTGACATTACTGTAATCTTTTTCACAACAGCAGTTGGAAAAATAACAGGCATACTGACAGTGAGCCCTGAGGCCATTTCAGCATTCTCAAACTTTTTTTATCACTTTGTTTTCACAGGTGGTTTTGCACAACACCGCCCCAAATGCTCAGTTACTGTTTGCATAGGGACCGCTCAGGGTTAGATCCTGGCTGTGCAAACCAATTTGCCAAAGTAATACAGTGAGTGAAAGGGGAAAACACAGCTGGTATGGACATGCCGTCACTTGATATGTCCCATAGGAACTGCTTTAACATGAAGCCTAAATTTAACGGAGTACTGAGCGTTGTTCCAGTCACAGCATGCTGTTATGCAGGCACAAGCCATATTTTCAAGTGCAAGATTAAACAGCAGGATGGTTAAGCAGTGTTAGTTAAACAAAAAGCCACGATTTCCTCTGGTGTCTTGTCAGCATGATAACCAAGCTAATTATTAAGGAAGGAAACTGAGTAATAACATAATGTAGTGACAGCTGTTACGGCTGTGAACGTGTCGACACAACATCATCATCATCACCACCATATTCTTTTACGTGACAGTCGGTACAGAGAAACGTGACTGTTGCCGATGAGGATTTCCTTAAAGACCAACCAAACATTTACACAGAATCGTTCACAGGAAGATTAGTCAACCGCAGTCACGTAGTATAACAACACATCCCCAACTTACAACATACACACTGCAACATTAGCTACTACATAAACAGCCAGTCCGTAGTGTACTACACATACCTGCAATCCTTTACGGGATTTACTGCTCATGCGGCTTCTCTTGGGGGACAAGGTCTGCTCATGCGGCTTCTCTTGGGGGACAGCTGTTCAAACAAAAAGAGGACTGAAACACACTAAACCTTTAACAACTTTAGCTATGTTTGGACAGTTCCTAGCAATGCTAACGTTATTCTGAACACGTCGCTAGTCGTCGGACGCTACACCGGTGAGCGCTCGCGCTTACCGAGACTATAGCAATAAATGAAAATGTATCGACACTTGTCTTCCTTAGAAAACACGTTGTTTCTTTTATTCTCATTCTTCACCGAAACTGCGAGGAGACGCAGCTCCGTCCAGCCCGGGGAGTGCGAGAGGCTGCAGGAAGAACTAACTACTGAAGGTACTGCAACTCACTTCAAACTTAAAATGCCTTCTCGCTTCTGATTGGCTCGAAATCAGCGTGACGCTGCGGTTACGTGCTTCTTGTAAACGTCCCTTTCTGTGATTGTATGATTTTATGACTTACTGGTAAGTGTGCTGTGGAAAGTGACATTCACTTAAGAAACAGCAATTTTGTGTAAGTTCCTTTTTCAATATTCGTTATGTACTGAAGCATTAATATTTTGTGCTACTTTAATACATTCATGTACTTTACAGTATAACTCCAGTAGTCGATATGGCCGGATCACCCTCCTTGTGGTTCCACGGCAAAAACAGGACTTACACTGTTTAAATGAGTGATCATTCGATTAGTTGATTGACACATGAACAATGCTTGCTAACTAAATGTCTGCATCTACAGTGCTTCTGTATTTGTTCATAATACAAGGCTCATGTTAAGGTTGCAGCGCCCCCTGCTGCTTATATTTAGATAAGGTAATTTTTCATACTGTACAGTATTTTTGTTTTGCCTGTCCTGTAATTTTGTTTATGAATCATCTGCAAGGGGATATACTCGTAGATACATGAGGTCCCTTGTAAAAATACAGTACATCTTGTATCAATCTCATATCCAGATATGATACTGTGTATTTACATCTGACATTATGCATCTGCTGCATGCTCACTGAAATTGGATTGTATGGGCATGTACTGTATTATATTGTATGCACGTGATTGTGTGTATGAATGATTAATGATCTTTCCCTCTAATCAAATGTGTGTATTTGTGTCACCAGAGGTTGATATGAATTACCTGTTAAAATACCCAGACACGCACACACAAACTGGTATTATGATACACAGGGAGTTTTTTTTTTTCAGAACTGCTTGAATTTGCTTCCTCAATTTTCCATCTTGTCAGAAACAATCTTTTCCTGTTGCAGAAATGCTGAACCTGGTGAATAACTGACACCCAGAAGATGAATGGATTTACAAATGGAGGTTTAATTTTATTTTTTTTATTATTTGAGAGTGTGTGTCTTTTGCACTTTGTCAGTTTATATTTTAAATCCAAATTCATGATGCAGTTTGATGTCCACTGTCCTGCCAATCCCTTTGGTCCATTCATCCTCACCATTCTTCGCCTCTCAGTGACAGGTTAGTTGGGCAACACCAATCCCACCTGTAAAACATATTCTAATTACTATAAATTACTGATGGCTGACACCTATCAATCACAACAATCATTCCCACTGAAAGCAACCATTTTGCATTGCAGAAAAGTTTACATAACACTGCTGCATTTTGTATTTCAGCATTTTATCCAAGTTGCTTGTGTTCAGCCTTTTTGCCAAGGTCACATTTTTTTCCACCAGCCTTATTATGTGGCAATAAAAGGAAGCACACAGTACTATGATTAAAAAAGTAGACAGCTCTTCTTTGTGTATCATCATCATCCCTTTTTACTTGGCAAATAACAGGATCTAAAACCATTTTCAAACATGATTTTTTTCCCCAGATTTTATCTAAGTTTTTAGTAAAGTATGTCCAGATATGCATTTTAGTTTTCACTCAGAGAAAACTGCCTAAGACAGCTGACTCAATATGCCTATTAATATGTTAATGGCCAGGATAGTATAACAGCAGGATGACAAACTTCTATCATATTACTTGAATCAAAGTGCTTCACTTCACTGTAATGACAGAATTCTTAGCAGTTTTGCACAAAACACATTTGACAGCTAAGAAATGGTCTGGAGGACTTTGGGTTTGAATATACAGCGTGACTGTGATGTGTCTTGGCAGGTAGTATTATAACAGTAATCAGTACCTTGTCTGGGCTCATAGTGGGACACGTCCAATTGTACAGATAGTAATGAAGGCTCCTGTCACTGATGCTGAACTTGAGCTTCTTCAGGAAACTCTTGTTATCCATCACATCAAGTGCACAGAAGATGTCAAAGCCTTTCTGTCAGTGAGTGGAAGAAGCATTTTTTGTCATCATACAGTACACACAAACCAATTTTTCCAAGCTTAGAAAAATGTTTCTGTCAGTAGCGCTATTCAAATTTTGACCTACAACTTTAATCATTTAACTGGATAATTTATATAGTTTGAAGGGACTGGTAATCCAAACTTAATTGCAGGTCCTGAGGTGAAGCTATTATTAGTTGTGTTGAGGGAGTCAATTAGTAATATTGATTATTAGCCTGTGTATGATACTGTGTTAACCAATCTTAGCACATTGCAACATGCTGAATATGTGCATTTACTATATCAGTCCTGTCAAACTCCTTGTGCAGTTGTTAAGTTAATGAGATTTTAAATTCTGACACACTTACAGATTTTGCCAGAACCAGTGCATCCTCCATCAGGTCCCCTGGGTCTGTGGCAGTAGAGGCAATGTAAAAGAGATGAGCTGCTCTCAGACCAGTGTGAACTGGATGATTTAGCACCCTGGAGGAAATGCTGTAAAAACTCACAACATCTGTCAGTGTGCCATCATCCTGCTGTGTGTGGAAAGGGGAGATTAATTAATTTCTAATTACTGCATTAATAACCTGACAATTTTCAGAAAATGATGCAAAGAGTCTAAAGAGAAACTGTGTTTCACAAATGTTAATGTCAGACCTCCACCACATAGGTGTCAATCACATTTTCACGTGGTAACAGCCACTGCTCTGCTTCCTGCAGTGACAGCATGGGGCTGAGGTGAAACTTGCAGAGGTTTGTCTGGAGGAGTGAGTGTATCCCTTCAACATCTTCCTTGATCATAGGGCGCAGACCTGGTGTCTTTGTCACCTTGGAGAAAGAGGAGGAAAGGAATAGCAGGAAATACACTTCCAGTAAGTGCTAGAAGGATGCCTATAAACTAATTCTTGTAGATTACAATTAGTATCTTTTGATATTTTGTTTTTCTGACAGTCCTACATTTTGGGTGTTTGCAGTGACAATGCCTCTAGGTGGCAGCACAAACTAACCTCAGACAGACGGTTCAGTTTGAGAGGTCTGTGCAGGTTTATGTTCTGTCTCAGACCTGGGTAGCTGACCTCCATCAGCTTTCGGAGATTCAGAGGGCGATGCCAGTAACTGAAATAAGGAGGTTGTTGATTTGCAAGGGACAGCAAAGGTAGACATTACTTCATTAGAAAAATACCAGATATACATGCATATCTGACTGAAGATACTATGCTGCCCCAATTGTATCACACTTGTTTGATAGACATGGCATATGTACATTACAAAGGCTGTATATATGCTAATAGGGGAACAGAGTGACACCCATAAATAGATAAAGCATTAGCTTATTTTAGTTTTATTAAAGACTTGAGAAATTCATAGAGTACTAAATATTCAGAAATAAATATGCAACACACTAGCTTGTTGGGTGGAGATCAGGGGTATTATGGATTTCCAATGTTGCTAAAAGGGTGCATGACATCACTTCTCTCCAGATGCACTCTGCTACTCGAGACAAGCACAAAAAATACAAAGGGGCTTCTTAAGTGGCTATGGCTTGCCTTTAAGTAAAATGTGAATTAAAAGTAGCTACAGTACTACCTGCAGGAGCTTAGTGGTGTGGGTAGCACTACACTAGCTGTGTAGACAGCTTGGCAGAAGCCCTGCTGGTTAACCCGTCTAGTGAGCTCTCGGATCAGAACCGGAGTCATCCGCTTGAGACGCAGCTTCTTATGCACACACAGGAATTTCACCTGTGCCATCAGTTTCTCCCTGCAAAATGCAATTTGCTTTGAGACATGAGACATTTGCAAAAATAAAAAAAGCTATATTTTTGTTGGCAAGTGCTCGAAACACTAATATTCCTCACCAGGTTTCAGATAAACACATACGGTTACATATATTTATGAGCCACTCACATCTCATATACACGAATACGCGCAGGAACAGCAGCGATGAAGCCCACTAACTTCTTATTGGTATCTACTCGCACACCACAGTGCCACTGGGCCAGGCCGTTAGGAAGTTGTAAAGCCCTTAGAAGAAAAAGAATGACACTTTCTGCAGTTTCTGCATTCAGTAAATTCTGATTAAGTGCAATTTTCAAAAACAAAACTGAGCCTTACTGAATATAGGATGCATGAACGGAACAGGTTGCTTAACCCTCAGGGTCAAGAACCTGTGCCGGTTCCTGAAATGTTAATTATTAGTTTCAAACTAAATGATATACTTTGATGTAAATGTTCCCTAAGAGATTACAGAGGGGGGAAAGGCACAGTAAAGCATTCTGACATCCCAAGCATGATATGTTTGGGATGTCAGAATAGAAAGTCCAGGCTTGAAAAGAATGTTGTACTTTTAAGACAGTGGATTGTGACTGTAACAAGCAGCTTTCAGTTGTAAAAGTCTATAGAGCTATGCTGAAACAGAATATGTGCACTCAGTCAGTCTCCACTAACTGTATAAAATGATTTAGTAAAAAAAAATTAAAAAGATACAGACTGAAAATCTAGAGATGAAATGTGACAAAATGCACCCGGCTGGAGCTTACCACTGCAGATACTCCAGAGAGAAGCTAAATCTGATAGTGTTGTCATCTTCTTCCACATAGTTCTCATTTAGTAGAGTGCACAGCTCTGTCAACTGAAATGACAGATGGAAAAGCACTGAATTTGCCTGGATTTGAGTCAAATTTTATTCAACTCACACTAAGAAAAGTTTGTCTGCTGGAGTTTCAACTCCAAAATATACAGTTCCTTACTTCAGTGAGACTAGAATTTGACAGTTGTGTATGTTGCAGTTTCTAATAATGTATATACAGTAACTTACCACTGTAGGGCTGCTAAGGTCCAGAGTATCCCAGGAAAAACCTTGAGGTAGAGAGTAGGGCTCCTTATGGACACTGGATTCACCCTGCAATATTGGGCCATGAGTTGTAATGCTGTCACCTGAGGACACAAGTATAAAGAAAAAATATTTTTTAAAATGAGGTATGCATAGCTTTTCCCCAATATTAATGATAGTAAATGACATATGCACTTCGGTTAATGGCTTTTTCAAATGCATATTCAATAATGTTTTCCTAATGACAGAGGGCAGCCTAGTTCTCCTTAGCATTTTGTATTAAAATATAACTTGAAGGTGAAATGACCATAAAAGCCTCTACAACTGAGAAGAAGATTTATATCTGCTATGGAACCATAAAGGCTGGAAGTGGTGGAATTAAAGGTATCCTGTGGCAATTTTGAAAAACAGCGGCCCTGCTGAGCAATATTTAAATGAACGGGTCTCCACTGACGACACACACACTTGGTTGCATTGCCCATGTACAACCAAGGTTAATGTGATACATATTTCTGCCCACAGTTGTTTGTGGTAATTTCAGGTTTTAAAGCATTTACAGCTACATGTAGTCTGGCTAATTAACATGCTATAAATTGTTTAATCCATGTAAAACTGAAGTCCTCTCATTGATTCCAAACATCTGAGTGTTCCAGCAAAGAATTTGTCCAAGAGGAATCACTTGTTACCCAGTTTGGGGACAGGCTGTGTGTCCCAGAAGAGATACTTGTGTCTCTTAGCCTGCTGCAAGGTCTTGGGCATATCTGTGCCCGGGGAGAAGAGGTAAAGGGCCTTCTGTATCTTCTGCTGCTTTTCTTCTGGTAGAGTTTTCAGCTGGGACAGAAGAGGACAGGGAAGAGACAGGTTGAAGACTGACAGACTTTGACTGTCTCCCAGCTGCATAAACCAGCTGAGCACTGATGCCTACAGATTTCAGTAGACGCATGAGACACTCTGTATGCGTGACACACATATTATACAGCTAAGGATGAATGTTTGAGTGTGCACATAGGAACAAACAGGTGTACAAATAGTACCATGTACACTCACACAAAGACACAAACCATCGCAAATGGGTCCCTGGGTCCATATGGCCTCCAGGCATCATCCTTCTTTTGCTTCTTTTTACTCTTTTTTGGTCCCTCATCTTCTATCAGCTTCTTATCACTAAAAAAAAAACATTGTGATATTTCTGTCAATGTATTATTGTACAGTATATTCAGATATTCAGTCAGTGTTACTGAAGACAGAGAGTACCGGTGTACTTACGGGTTTGAGTCAGTCATTGTAAATAAATGGACAGTCTTGAAGCTGAGGGTGAACTGGGGTGCTTTCTGACACAGCTCTGGTTTTTCATCTCTTATCTCATGTGAGCAGTAAGGGGAGGAGAGTTACCCACCCTAACTCCCACCCAGCCGATAGATAACTGTGAACAATACTGACAATTAAATAAAATTTCTCATAGTCTCCGTATATCAGACAGCTGCTGGATAGAGCCCTGAAGCAGATTAAAGCTTATAGCAGTTTGATCCAGGGAGCATAATTTAATTGGTTGATGCTGTCTAATTGCAGAGTAGTCTTCATTTTGAAATTCAGCACTTCTTCTAGAGCTTAATATCTTTTGTGGACTCAGTGATCATTACTTGTGTTCAATGTAATACATATAATTTTAGCACATTTTTTGGTAATTCCTGGCTAAATATACTTACTGTATATATTTAAATGTATCTTATATCTTTTAGCTTTTGATGAAGGAAATTTTAAATCAAACAATGCAAATTATTCGTGTTTGTTTTGTTGTGTCTTATTTGTTTGAATTAAATAAAATGTCAGAGAAACTGAAACTGAAATTCATTACTTCACTGTTTAAAGAAAATATATCAGGCTGTGTTTTTCTGCTGAAAATGTGCTGAATTGTTGACATTTTCATAAAAATCTATTTCAACTCTCTTTAGTGCTGTATGGCCGCCAGCATAGAGTGCAAGCTGAAAACACAGAGCTGGGTGAATATAGTTTGTAATTATAATATATCACGATACATAAAAATGTCCACATGAAACTTGAGTATGCAATGACATGCCCTTTTGCAGTGGTTCTATCCAATGTGAAATCTTGCCATATTGAAGACTTCCACATACCCAAGAAATGATGATATTATGAACTGAATGCAATGGAACCATGTGGACCAAAATGAAAAACATGAACGATGCGTATTATTATTCTATGATGTTTTTAAGGAAGTTTTCTGTGATGATTACTGCAGTATGCCATTTTTATAATGAATGTTTATATACACTTTATTGCAGCAACATGGCATTTGCAAGATGACATTTAAACAGCCTGGGCACAGACAGTTTCTTCACTTCCACTGCCTATTATTCAACAAGTCCTCCAAACTGAACGTCAGGAAATGCATTATGTCAAGATGTTATTTGCTGCACCTTAGTTGTGACTGTGTGCTCCAGGCCTTATCACTGCAGGGCCTGCATCAGTTATCACATCTGCTGAGGCATCTTCATGTATATAATTTTGCTGGAGTGACAATTTTTTGGATTACTCTACAATTGCAATTATAATATTTATAAACTAATCCCTAAAATGCTCACAATAAAATGAATGTCATATGTTGAGACCCAGATGTGTAGATGGTGCAAAAACAAGAATAAAATATAACACTATCACAGCCAATCTACAATGTGTGTATGTGTGTGTTTTGGCTGTGTGCAATTTGTGCAACTATTTGTGCGTAAATGTGTGCACCTATGTGTGATTGTGTTATGCTGGTGCACATAGTCAGGACCATTACTAATCTGTAAATACTGTAGATCTGTATTGTTGTGATCTTTCTGAATCTCTGCATTTTCTCTGCTCACTCGTCTTTTAGTGACTCTGACTCAGTGTCTCACAGATTTCTCTTTCAGCCTGTTGTTCTGTCCTTCTCTCATTTTCTCTCACTTACACACTTCTTTATCTCCTCCCAGCTCAGGTCTCCCTGACAGCCAGGGCTGTCAATAACTCATCACAATCTCCAAATATATAGCAAATATTTTTAATGATTGCACAGGAATGATTAAGGCATTCGATGTCTGTTTATCTTTTTGCATTTAGTCTACCTAATCAGTGGATTAGAAAATAATTAGTGAGGAAGAGAAGCTCTTTTTCTTTGTTTATTTTTGCCTCTTCTCTTCTCCTCTTCCTCCTTGTATTTGTTTCTTTCATTGTCAGTTAATGGGCTATATTTAAATGATAAACCAGACCATAGGAGCATAAATAGAGAAGAGTCATAAAGCCAAAAGGGGCTGTTAGACAGCACTATCTGCCTAAAGTTAGCTAACATTAGCATAATGAGACAATGGTCATACAGTGTAAGGGTGTAGCAACAAAACCCTGGGTGCATGTTATTTCTTATCAGGTCCAGAATTTGTTAGCAAAAGAAAGAGAGTGCAGTTTCACTTTAACCATGCCTTTTAAGTTCACATAGCATTTAGCTTTACAGCTACACCAAGCTGTCATTATTTCACCCAGCCAATAAAAGTTGTACCCACAGAAAACTGTGTTTTCTTTGTGTTTGTTTGTATTGAAAACATATCTCCAAATAGGTGGACTGAGAAAATCAACCCTTTAAACTCTCACAACTCTCAGGTTATGTCAGAAATGGTTAGTCATTCAGGTATAACAGGGCTCTTCCACCTTTTCAAAGCACCAGTCTGCCAAGAAATTAGACTAATATTGATTGATCCTATATGGCATGATATACATGATTACTCGACACTATTGTGCAGCAAAGTGAGTGCAGTTTGTGGATGGATGCATGTAGGCTGTCTAACTTTAATGTTGCCAACTGAATATCTGTCCTATGTCAGTCTGTTTTTTTTTTTTTTACCACACTGGATGTCCTTTTAGTCCTTTAAGCTTGTTTTTTGTTAAAATAAAAATTAGAAAGCCACAGTGTTTCAGATCATTGAGTGTCCCCTGGTTACTGTAGGCAAAGGGGAGTAGTGGACATTTGCAGTGTTTTGCTGCTACTATCTTGATACTACCGCTGGAGGGCACCAAGTTGATTTGTCAAATATAACACAAACCAGTTATCAGCTAAACTTCAAACTAAAATGTGAGCAGTAAACTTTAAAAATCCTCTTATACAATTTAATTTGTTTTAATCATACAATATCAGTGTTTGTATTTGGCAAGTGGGCTTCAGAAACAGTCAAATAAGCTCTTCTTATTGAAGGAGGTATACTGTCTGTACTGCACTTCCTAGTTATTTTGATGGACTGTCTACCTTATAAAGGCATCTTGCCTGAGGCTGAGTTAACTGGCTCCCAAAGAAGGCAATGATGAAACAAACTAACAGGGGATTTTCACATGAACACACAGACTAAAGCTGATTAAAAAATATATGTCTTTCTGTTCCTGGAAAGTTGCAGCTTCGTTAAAATTAGTCAGAAAATCAAAACTCTGTGTCAGATACTCTAAAATGGAGAAAGCAGTGCCTGTGTCTTCCCTGCCTGCAGAATTAATGCAGACTTGGCTTTATAGGTCTTAATCAGCAGCTTTTCATCAAAGAATCCAGGACTCTACTTTGAGGTTGCCAACAAACTCAGAAAATGAAAAGCTTGGTTTTGTTCTGATTGGAGGATCCTCCCTATAAATCATGCAATTGCAGGGCCTTGTTTGTTGATATTATTTGGCCATGTTGCCTTGATGAGTGGACTGAATAAAAGTATCTGCATTCATCTTGAATACTACTGGCTCTTGCTCTGTGCAGTAGAAGAGGTCTAGCTCTCAGTGTTAAACCTGAAGTGTTATCATGTCATTTCTTTCCACCTTTGTCCATTTTACATTTGAGGTGTGTAGCTGATATTATGGCTAAAAGTGAGGCAAGCAGGGATCAGTGTCTTGTTGAAAGCTCTTGTAGAAAGCAGTTGTTGAGAGAGATCAAACATCTTCGTCACACCTTTCCGTCCTGTTTCTTTTGCTTTGTTTCATTCTTTTGCTTTATCTATTATCTTTATCTTGCAAAGAAATTAAACAAAAAGGGAGAAAGGGGCACCCTTACCCTCATCTGCTATTCTTCCATCCATTCATTATGAATTGCTTATCCAGGCTTAGTAGGGCGGTCCAGAGGTCCCACTCCTCAGAAATGTTTTCTAGCTCCTCCTGGGGGACCCCGAGGCACTCCCAGGCTAGATGAGATAATCCCTCCAGTGTGTTCTGGGCCTACCCTGAGGCCTCCTACCAGTTTAATGTGCCCAAAAAACTTCCAATGGAAGGTGCCCAGGAGCTATTCTAATCAGTTGCCAGAACCACCTCAGGTGGCTCCTTTCTGGGTCTGCACCTTTATAAAATTTCATATTGTGAGACAAATATCTGTTCCCACACGTTATGAGGATTCACCTCCCATATGGGGGCAACACTTTAGGTTTAGGATTAGACTAGGGTTGGGGTTAGGTACTGTAATGGATATGATCAAATTTAAGTTGGTTTCCCAGTAAGTGAATCCAAGTTAATGTAGCTGATTGATTAGTGTTAACTTGACATGGTGGATCTTGTAAATTCCAGGTTATAGCATCTGACATAAAATAAAATTACAGTCATGAACATATCTTGCAATTTGTAAAATAAACTGATTAAAAAAGGCAATAATTGGAAATGTGGCTGATCTTTCATACCTACCTGATCTAAGCTACCTTTCATTTGTGGAATGATCAAATATTTGAGCTGAAAGGAAACTGCCTCTCTGGACAAGAATGCAAGTGACCTCCTGAGAATGCCAATCCACAAAAAATACCATGATTAAAATATGGCAAAAGACGGTCAAAGTAAGAAAAGATATGAATATTCTTATTACAAAAATACAAATATATAGCATAAACTATAAGTAAAGCTCAACAGACTGTCTAGTCTACATGGTTTAAGAGTGTTATTTTGTGAGCGCTGTGTTCATATTCTCTTACGGGATACATGGCCCATCACTTCAAACCTCCTGGCGCTGCTTTCCTGACAGCTACAAAACAACCAGCATGTATCTTTTTCGGAAAATCGTTGCCAAGAAGGAGGCTACAATAAATCAAAGTACAATAGAAGTGCATTACTGTGGTTGAACAATAAATAAATGTGTGGCTTTTTTTAGGTCCAAATGTCAAGTAGAAAAGAATAAGACACTTGGAAGAATGTATGGTAAAAAAAGGAATGTGATTAATTTGAGCTCAGATGCAGTAACATCCCAAATAAATAATTCACCTATTAGCTAAGCACAGTACCTGGAAGTACACTTACTGTAAATCAAACTGAAACACGTTTCA